GATTCTCAGTCTCTCTCTCCCTCTGACCCTACCCCGCCAGCACTCTCTCTCTCTCTCTGTCTCTCTCAAATAAATTAATAAATAAATTTTTAAAAAGAAGGGTAAATTTCGGGCGCCTGGGTGGCTCAGTTGGTTGAGCGACTGCCTTCGGCTCCTGGAGTCCCTGGATCAAGTCCCGCATCGGGCTCCCCGCTCGGCGGGGAGTCTGCTTCTCCCTGTGACCTTCCCCCCTCTCATGTGCTCTCACTCTCTCAAATAAATGAATAAATAAAATCTTTAAAAAAAAAAAAAAAAAAAAAGAAGGGTAAATTTCAAAACAAAGATCAGAATATTTAGAATATTAGCAGGGGTAATGAACATCATTTCATAATGTTTAAGGGATCAGTTCACCAAGAGGACGTAAATAATCCTAAATGTTTATTCACCTAATAACAGGGTTTTAAAATTGATAGACCAGCAAGGAGAAATAGACAAATCCGTAATTAGAGTAAGAGATGTCAGTAATAGCCCTTTCTCAATAATAATTGATAGAAAAATACCTAGAAAATTAGTAGAGATATATTCTGTGGAAAATAATAGTTTTTTAGAACAACTTATTTTTAAGAAATATATTGGACAACACTATTAACTAACATGACCTAATTGATATTTATAAAATTCTCCCTTTAACAGCAGAATAAAGATTCTTCTCAAGTGCACATGGGACATTTACTAAAATAGATCATATTCTGGAGCATAAGTAACTCTCAATAAATTTGAAAGGATTCAAGACATACAAAGTATTTTTTCTGACCACAGTGAAATTAAAATAGAATTTATTAACAAAAAGTTATCTGGAAAGATCCCCAAATATTTTGAAACTAAATAAATACCAAGTCCATGCCCTTAATCACTATGCTATGTAGATGTGTGAGGAGACAGGCTACATGGAAAAATGAAACATGCTGAGCCATGGGTTCTACCAGAAACATCTAAGTGTGCACACCCCCTCCATCTCATAGTACCTCTGTGATCTTGGTGAAGGTACTTAACCTCTCTGAGCCTATTTTATAATCCAGTTTGAATAATAATAATTATTATATTATTATTATTATTATTATATGTTATAAGAATTAAATGAGTTAATATATAAAATGTGTTCTGTACCATGCCATCCTACCTTGTATTGGTACCAGGTGAATATTCTCTCCTTTCATACTGAGTTTACACAGTTCTTGGCAGGACTTCAATACATATTCTGATCCCTTAGCATTGTTTTTTTTACTGCAAAGTTTATGTATTTGAATAATCATCTACTTTTACAATATATTTATTCAGCAGTTAATTCATAAATAATCTGAAGTATTAGTTTTCAACCAGCATTTTTTTAACTTTTGGAAAACAGTAAAATAATTTATTTTTAGGAGATATATTTTTTTAAATTATATACGTACATCAAATATAAACAAATGACCTAATTACTACTTCGACATCTGAAATTCCCTTGCTTTTATAGGGATTGTCATAAATGAATGTTATGTTACAACATGGTGTTTGGCTCCAAGACAGAAAATTATTGCAGAATCCACCACAAATATCTCACTTGGAAAATAGTGAAAAGACAGAATTTTGCACATCAGTATTAGACACAGGTGTTATAAAATACTAATTATGCATTTCAATACAAATACAAAGGGAATTAAAAACAACATACTCAGAGTGCTCTAGAGTCATCAGGAAGCCTTCACCAAGGAGGGAGTTTGAAGTAATGGGAGATATGGATAAATAAAAAGCAAAAAAATTAAAAACTGAAATATGTACAGAGATAACTATTTTAGTTTGTGTAACTCCTAAGCTCATATATTATTCATGCTTTGGTTTTAGAAATCAGAATTTCCCCATGATTATTAAAATTACTATTAGTTATTATATAAAGTGGTTCATATTTTATATAAGCACCATCACCAAATTAATTTATTTTGCATAAACATAAGTTCTGCCATCTAAGATATTTTATTTTTTTTATCTAAGGTATTTTATTTTATTTTTTTCAAGGTTTTATTTATTTCTTTGAGAGAGTGAGCGAGCGAGAAAGAGCAGGAACAGGGGGAGGAGCCCAGCTCCATACCAGGACCCCAGGATCATGACCGGAGCTGAAGGCAGACACTTAACCAACTGAGCCACCCAGGTGCCCCTATCTAAGATAGTTTAAAGAGTTTATATCAACATATAAAAAACATAAACACAATAATTTGGCATGAATTCATCTTCTCAATGACAAATAATATACTGGCTTAAAAAAAATCACTGTGATCGTTGGCTCATCATTTTGTTCAATCTATTCAGATTATGAAGGAACTAGTGGTATCATCTTTCTATGCTACAGTGTCAACACATTCAGGTGGCCCTTGGCATCCGTTGCAGCTTCCTTAAATATTTACAAATCCTACCTGAAGCTTGTTACTTTGCTTCTCTTTCTCTGGTTGTGCACACTAAAAACCAACTCAGTAATAGTAAATCACTCTTCTCTCTTCTATTTACATGCTTTTTCTTTCCCACCTTCCTTCTATTCCTTTTTATTTTTAAAATTTTATTTATTTATTTGTCAGAGAGAGAGAGCGTGCATGTGCACAAGCAGGGGGAGTGGCAGGCAGAGGGAGAAGCAGGCTCCCTGCTGAGCAGGGAGCCCCACGCGGGGCTCGATCCCAAGACCCTGGGATCATGCCCCGAGCCAAAGGCAGATGCTTAACTGACTGAGCCACCCAGGTGCCCCCTTCCTTTTCCTTCCTTTTTTTCTCTTTACCTACAGTAGTTCGTTCCAAGGAATAGTTTGGGGACAAGAAGGACTTGCTACCTGACTTGCTACTTGACTCGTTCAGTCCATCAGCTACCTCCTTTTCTTCCCTGAATACCTTCTGTGTTTCATCCTCTTCTAGGGACTCCACTGATTTCCTAAATGGCCTCTTCCCCATAATAAATTAAAAAAAATTTTTTTAAGTCCTTCTAAAGTCTTTCTGTCATCTAATTTACAGTTTGTCCTGTCCCATCTAGTCTGCATATATTCTTATTCTCTTAATTCAAGCAATGAAAAGAAATTAAAGGATTCAAGGCATCTTTGGGAGGCAAAGTGAATAGAACTTGGTGTTGGATTAGGTGTGAAGGGTAAAAATGATGTCCCAGTTGCTGACCTGAAAAACTAGATGGATTGTGGTTACTGTGTCTTGACTGGGGAAGGAACAGGTGGGGAGGGGATTGTATCTAGGTTTCTGGTTCAGACAGTTTATTTGAGACACCTGTGGTATATCTCAATGGCTAGCAGGGATGGGTAGATGTAAGTACCTGGAATTCAGAAGAACATCTGTTTTTTGGGTTTTTTTTGTTTTTTCCTGAGTGCCCCTGAGGCTTCCCTTGCCTTTAGGAGTCCACGAGAACAATACATTTGAGCAATGCTATCATGTTCCTAAATGATCCTTAGCATCCTTTTTCTCAAACAATCCAGAAACTTATTTTGAGAGAGCCAAAATAACTCCTTGAATTGAATATAAACGTAATTGTTTTGCCTTGGAGGAAATGCTTAGTCCTATAACCAGTGCAACAAACTCGACTGACCCCACACTGGGGTAGTCTTTTATCTGTATTTTATTTAATTTAAAGGACTTTATGTAAACTTTCTTGGCAAATTTTCTGTTTTCTGGTACCCTGGTTTCAGTGTTTCCCTGAGAAATTCATGTTGACCTCTTTCCTCCTCTCAGAGTGATCTGAATCACAGAGTCACAGTAAGTCAAGTTTGACAGTTTTTCTCCCAAGTTATCTGGCATTTACTTCCTCTAAGAACTTATAATCATGGCACAATGTAAATCTAGAGCCAGCCTGTCACTGAGATTCTCTCATCTCGCTAGATGAACCAGGCCTGAATGACTCCAGTACTCATAGATTTGTTCTCTCTCTTGCTCTAGTCGGCAGAGCCAAAACCAATGGTTAAAAACCACAGGGAGAGAGATGTTGGCTCAACTAAAGGAAAAACTGCCTAATGCTTAGTGCTGTCTGAAAATGGAAATGCTTGCTGGGAAGGAGTGAGTTATGGTTTCTAGTGGTGTTGAGGCACAGGGCAGACAATCGTTTGGTGCAGATTCTGTGGTAGAGACTGAAGAGTCAGAGCATAGCAGTAATCTCCACTGACTATTGAATCTCTGCTCGTGCTAGAGCTTTATACATATGTTTTGTCCCGTTTATCCTCATAACAACTCCCAAGGCAACTAGTTGTAACCCCACCAGGAGAGGTTACAGTCACAATTTAAGATTATACAGCTAGAAGGTGGCAGAGCCAGGGTTTAGAGCCAGGATTTAAACTCAGCTTCCTCTGAATCCAAAGCCCTTGCTTATTCTTTCCACAATTCACGGAAGCTTGAGAACTGGAACCAGGGGATTTCTAAGGTCCCTTGCAGTGCTGTGGTTCTGTGGAAGTACAACATGGATACAGGCATCACTGACTTGACTGTGTTTTCCTTAATCATCCTTCTGGCCTCAGTCACATTAAAATGATAATCTGTGACTCCAAAACTTTCTGGGGTCTCCATCAAGCAAAGACCATTAAAAAAAAATCAACATTTGTACTTTGTATCCCCTCTGAGCTTTCAACAGAACGTAGTCTAAAGGCCTCAGAATCTTTTTTATTTTTTTCTTATAGGGTTTCTGGGAGGGACTGAGTTTATAATACACATATACAGAAGATGAAGCTTTTAATATTTCTGAAAACTGTCATAAGATATTGTCCTAACTTCTCTACTCATTTTACAAGTCTTAGAAGGTCTTAGAAGATCTTGAAATATTTGACCCAAGGTCAATTTTTCTGGCCTAAGTTCTGAGTCAGATTATTTTTAAACATTAGAATTAAAAAGTTAGATTCATTAAAAAATAAATATTAGAATTAAGTTTTTAAAAAATTAGAGTCTGAAAATAAGCTTCATTTACTCATCTTAAGGTCAAATGGCTTTGTATGTGTGTTAAATGCTGTTTTCTAGATTGAAGCTGAGCTGGCCAAGGAAAGAGCCCGACATTTAGTTGAATTTGAGGAGCAAGCTCTGCTTTTTAAGGAAGAAGCTAGGCTAGAACTTGATATTGAAAAAGAAAAACACCAAGAAATAATCCAAAAGTATAAGAAAGAACAAGAGGAACTACAAACGAAGGTCTGTCATCATGATGTTCATTATTATTTAATGGGTTTGAAACTATAGATGTTGGTTATTTCCTTCTAAGAACACTGTACAGTATTTTTAACTCAAGCAGCTTTCCTCAGGGTCATTGTGCGTTGGTTTTAGCGACATGGGTGGAGTGGTTTAGATCATTTCCAGAATTAATAGCTGAGATAAATCATATAAGCATACAATACAGCTATGTATGGAATTTTTTTCTACTAAAATAAACTTTTTTACAAGATTTTATTTATTTAAGAGAGAAAGAGTGAGAGAGAGAGAGAGCACAAATGGGGGTGTGGGGGGAGAAGAAGGCTCCCCACTGAGCAGGGAGCCAGATAACACTAGGGGCTGGATCCTAGGACCCTGGGATCATGACCTGAGCCAGAAGTCAGACGCTTAACTGACGGAGACACTCAGGTGCCCCAAAATAAACCTATTTTTTAAAACAGCATAATTAGGGGCATTTGGGTGGCTCAGTCAGTTAAGCATCTGACTTCAGCTCAGGTCATGATCTTGGGGTCCCGGGATCCAGCCCCAGGTTTGGCTCAGTTCTCAATGGAGAGTCTATTTCTCCCTCCCCCTCTATGCCTCCACCACCCTCATGCTCCCTCTCTCAAATAAATAAAATCTTTAAAATAAATAAAAATAAAAGAGCATAAATTATATAACTAATAATTAGCATGGTTAGCTATTTTACCAACAACTAAAGCCTATCTCCTTTAATTGCAAGTATTTCCAATTCTAGATATTTTTTGAATGAAGGGAAATATTTTAAAAATGTAATCTACCTCCATAATTTCTGAAACAGTATGTCCTAAACATAATTTTTTTAAAGATTTCATTTTTAAGTAATCTCTACACTCAACATGGGGCTCAAACTCACAGCCCCGAGATCAAGTCGCATGCTTTTCCAACTGAGCCATGTGGGGGCCCCCTAAACATAATCTAAGGTTTTGTTTAGGTTGCCTGTTACTATAAGACCTGAGTGTCATATATATGCATGTTTTTGTGTATACGTATATATTTGCGTTTGTGTATATGTATATGTGTGTGTATATTAACCAAGATTCAGTGGGGAAATCATACTTCGAATAAACTCACTAACAGTCTGTGTAAATGCAGTATCAGATGAGACTTAATGGCCTCTACTTTGGTGTGCAGGAGATATGGTACAGCCTTTTCAATAGCACTGTCAACGATAGGCAGGGCCAGCTACATGATTATGTGACAAGTACGATATCACAGGGTCCCACACTCAAAAAGGCTTCGTACTACTTGGGTGTAATGCTCTGCAAATGTTGTCTTGAAATTCCTAGTAAGTTTACCTTTGAGTTTGTGTTTTGTAAGTAAAGTTCTATTGGGACAGTGGTGCACTTGCTGGGAGCTTGAAGTCTCAGCTCACCCAAATTTCTACCTCTCCTAGACTAGTTTGCTCCGAGAAGAGGCCTCTTAAGGCAGATCCCAACTTGCCAGGGGTTATGGTTTTTCAAAGTAAGTCATAAAAACAGATTTTGTAAGTGAATTCTCTTGATTTTTAAAAGCTGACTCCCGTTTTGAAGAGATCAAAACGTATCTGTGGCTATGTGAGTCTCCTGTCCCGAGGATAATCTGGTCTGTTTCAGTGTTGACTCGCCTCTGGATGATGGAAACTACTGCTCAGACCTAGCAATGACCCTCTTCCTTCCTGGATTAATTGAATATAATGGAATGTTAATTTAATTTTTAAATTTACTAAGTGTGAATAGATTTCGTGCAGAAGTTATTCTTAATGTAAATTTAACATTTGAAACAAATTTTGGATATATAACTCTTAAGTAATGGTTCACAAAATCCTTGGAACTTTGGTCTATGAATGTTTTCCAGATTCTTCATGGACTGGTTTCTTGTTATACTAATATTTATAATATGACGATATCCATAGCATAAATAATAAGGATATGTTTCATCAGAAGCAGCTTTGCTTTTCCTGGTTTGTTTTCTTTTCTTTGTTTTGTTTTTTAAGGAGAAAGAAAACAAGCAGCCTTTTCCCTTCTAAAGACTCCCAGGACTCTCAGCCAAAGCTGCTCATCTTCTCTCATCTCTTTATCTCTCATTCTCTCACCTTTTTATCTAGAGGTACCACCTACAGAGACAGTATATTTTCAAAGTGTTCTGGTATTCTCTAGAATTGCACAGTCTAATATGTTAGCCATGTATGGTGACTTTAATTTCAATTAATTAAAATTAAATAAAATTTAAAATTCAGTTCATCAGTCACATTAGCCACACTTTTAATGCTCACTAGCCAGTCCTGGCAAGCCAGAGCCTATTGAGTGCATCTCTTTCCAACTCAGCAATTGGTGATGTCACCTTGGAATCGGCCAGGGTGAGAATATTTACACCATCGAGACTAAATACAAATCTGGCTTTTGTGTGTATATGAGTCAGTTGCTAAACATTTATTGACACACTACTGTCAGTAGGCACATGTGGCTAGTGGCTACCATATTGGGTATCACAGAGTATCTCTATCATCTGTTGGGCAGTGCTGCTTTCAAAGTTGTAGTATCTGGGGTACCTCCAGTCATTGTAATAAGAAAGAAAAAAATATATCAAATGAAAACTTACTGCTATGGTATGAGTAGAATATAACTGTGGTGCTCCCCTATATGCACCCCCAAACATCAGGCATTTCTAGGTCCCAAAGCCACCTCATACTGAATCCAGACAGGTACCTGGATCAAGACTTAAGCTGTCCTTGGTAGCTCAGTCCAGACAAAGAGATTTATATATTTCCAAGGATGCCCAAGTCATTAATATGCAATTCCATTTAAGGTGGTAAAAATACATTTTAGTCTTAACATTATTTATTTATTTTAAAGATTTTATTTATTTATTTGACAGAGACACAGTAAGAGAGGGAATACAAGCAGTGGGAGTGGGAGAGGGAGAGGGAGAAGCAGGCCTCCCGCCGAGCAGGGAGCCCGATGCGGGGCTCGATCCCAGGACCTGGAATCATGACCTGAGCCGAAGGCAGCCGCTTAACGACTGAGCCACCCAGGCGCCCCTAGTCTTAACATTTAAAAAGAAAATCTTGAAGGCCTACATAATATCATAGGATTTGTTTTCATTTGATCAGAAGTGTACACTGATTATTTAGAATAAACCTCTTAGAACCTTAAGAACTCTGTGGTTACCTAGAGATATTGCCTACAAATAATAGAAGATTTATCTTACAGATATCTGACTTAATCGCAAGCGCTACTAGAGATCTAAGGCTGGAAGTGACCGCTCTTGAAGAAAAACTCCATGAATCTTATATCCGGTATACTGAAGATTCTGAGTCAAAGGAGAAAGAAATCGAAAACCTTAAAAATGTGGTTGCAGAATTTGAATCCCGCTTGAAGAAGGAAATTGATAGTAATGATTCTGTTTCAGAGGACTTGAGGAAGGAAATGCAGCAGAAGTCAGATGAGCTAGAAAGAGTAATGCTGGCACAAACACAACTGATACAGCAGTTTAACCAGTCCCAGGAACAGGTAGGAAGCAGAGGATGGAGCCCTCACCATTAGTGAAAGAGCACACATTCTTTCCAAAAACGAGACAAGCAGACAAAAACATGAAAGGCAGCTTGGTGTCATGCAAAGAGTTGGGGACTATTAGTCAGGGACTTGGAATTACATCCTGGTTGTGTTCTTAACTAGGCAGTCACTTAACTCTCTGCATCTGGCTTCCTTTTCTATAAAATGAATTCACTGAACTACATAATCTCTGCGGTTTCCTGGCGCACAGTTTTACAATGTTGTAAATGACCATTTAAAACTTCTAAGACTAGGAATCTTTGTATATTTATGTCTTATTTGTTTTGATGTTAAATCTTTGCCAAAGAAACTTTTAGAGCACTTGCCACTTAAGTTCAGAAAATAATTTGGACAATATATTTTATTTTATTTTTAAGATATTTATTTATTTGAGAAAGAGAGAGAGAGAGCATGAGCAGGGGGAGGGGAGAGGGAGGGGCAGAGTGACAGGCAGACTCCCCACTGAGCAGAGAGCCCAGATGTGGGGCTCTATCCCAGGACCCTGAGATCATGACCTGAGCCAAAGGCAGCCGCTTAACTGGCTGAGCCACCTATGAACCCTGGGACAATATATTTTAAAAGTAATTTCTCTTTAGGGCTTTATCTTTCCGTCAACCTAAACTATAAGATAATTTACATGTGTTGGTCTTCTTTCTTATGTATGCATGATTATTTCAGCAATGTTTTTATTTAAACTAGAATGGACTTATTTTGATTTGAATTTTCTTTTCTAATAAAGTCTTATTTCTGAACTGCTAAGCAGTTTAGGGCACACAGCATGGAGGAGATTCATATTTGAATCTCCATGATACGATGTTTCCTATTTCAGGAAACCCGAATTCTAGTGATTCTGCTTCTAAATTTCAAAGAGACCCTCAGGCTTAGCACTCAACATCTCCAGGCTTCCTTTCCTTTCTTTTTTTCTCTTTCTTTCATTCTTTCTTTCTTTCTTTCTTTCTTTCTTTCTTTCTTTCTTTCTTTCTTTCTTTCCTTCCTTCCTTCCTTCCCTCTCTCTTTCTTTCTTTCTCTCTCTCTTCTTTCTCTTCTTTCTTTCTTTCTTTCTCTCTTCTTTCTCTTCTTTCTTTTCTTTTCTTTTCTTTCTTTCTTCCTTCCTTCCTTCCTTCCTCCCTCCCTCCCTCTCTTTCTTTCTTTCTTTCTTTCTTTCTTTCTCTCTCTCTCTCTCTCTCTTTCTTTCCTTACTTCTTCCTTCCTTTTAAAATAACACTAAGCACACTACTCACCTCTCCAGATATTTAGGGGGTCAGCTGAGTGTCTCCGGCAGACACATTGCAGCACAGCCTCCCTGATAAAGTGAGCTGCTTCACAGGCCAGGCAGGAGGGGGAAGGGAGAGCACACATGGACTCAGTTCCACTGAAGAAACCCTAAGGAGAGAGGCGATGCAGGTTTGCTTCAAATGAGACAGCAGTGGGGAAGCTCTAGAGAAGGGATGGTAGGTTAAAGGAAAGAAAGGTCAAGAAAATTAGACCAGCAGGTTTTCTAACTCTTAAATCACCAAAGAAATGGCAATATGGAAAGTAAGGAGTAACCTATAAACTAGGACAAGCAGAAAAAGATAGAAGGGTTGAATCCAGTAAGTATATACTGAACCTCTATGTAGGGGCCAGGAGCTGTGCTAGGCCCTATCTGTGCAATTATGAACAACACTGACAACTGCCATTTCCTGCTCTCAAAGAAGAATTTAAAGACAATCTTATGTAATTAAATTGACATCCAGGGGCACCTGGGTGGCTCAGTCGGTTAAGCATCTGACTCTTAATTTCAGCTCAGGTCATGATCTCAGGGTCATGAGATCGAGCCCCACATCAGGCTCTGCATTGAGTGTGGAGCTTGCTTAAGATCCTCTCTCTCCCTCTGCCCCTCCCCCTCTCCCTCTCAAAAAAAAAAAAAATTAAATTGACATCCAGAGGAAAGAATGACATAAACAAAAACTTAACATATATTGCATGGAGCACTGGGTGTTATGTGCAAACAATGAATCATGGAACACTACATCAAAAACTAATGATGTACTGTATGGTGACTAACATAACATAATAAAATAAAAATTAAAAAATTAACATATAAAAAGCATAGACTAGTCTTAAAAATTGGCCTTAAGGACCTGTATTGGTTATCTATTGCTGCACAATAAATTATCCTCAAATTCAGTGGTTTCAAATAACAAACATGTACTATCTCATAGTTTCTGTGGGTCAGAATGTGGTATAGCTAGGTACCTCTGGCTTAAAACCTCTCGTGAGGTGGGTGTCAGGGGATTAGGGGTACAGTTTTGCCTAAAGCCTCAACTAGAGGAGGATTTGTTTCCAGGCTCACTTTGTGGTTGTTAGCAGGATTTATTTTATTATGGCTGTTGGGCTGAAAGCCTTAGCACCTTGCTGGCTATTGTCAGAGGACTCCCTCAGTTCCTTGCAATAAGAACTTCCCCATAGAACAACTTACACGTGGAGCTGGCTTCCCTCAGAGCAAGCAAGTTAAGAAGACTGAGAGTGCAAGAGAGGGTGTCTAAGATAGAAGCCAGTCTTTAGCCTAATCTCAGAAGTGACATCCCAATGCTTCTGCTAAATTCGATTCATTATAAATGAGCCAGTAAGTTCAGCTCACATTCAAAGCAAAGGGATTGCACAAGGGGGTGAATAAGCAAGAGGGCGGGGATAACTGGGGGCCATTCTAGAGTCTGCCAGTCTCAGTGCCGCTGGAGGTAACTTTGGCAAGAGAAACTAGATTAAAAGTGAAGAGTGAATTTCTTTTTCAGACAAAAGGAGCTAGATGTGAAGCTCTTCCTGCTCATTAGTTGTAAAAGGAAGCCACTTAGAGATGGAGCTTGTTTGTTTGTTTGTTTGTTTTTTAATGCACACTCTTGAAAAATACAAGACACTGGTTTGGCACATAAACAATCATTGATCATTACTAGGGAATAGAAAGGGATCATTCCAAAAGTAAAGTTGCCTAAGGACATGCCTGGGGACAGACTTCCTTTAGCTGGGGTGGGAGGAAGGGAGGTAGATTAGATTTTCCATTAGAAGTTAAATAATTACCATTGAACTGTAAGAGTAAATAATTAAGGCTCCTTCTCTGGTTAAGCATGCCAAAGTCCAGAATATTCTTATAAAAAGAGGAAATGAGACAATAACAGTGATAGGATGTATGAGCCAGAAAGAATAGAGGTGGTAGCATGTAAAGTGAAAAACACTATTATTTTGATCACACATTCCAGACACTTGAAATTTCTCAGATTCTAGAGAAATAAAGCCACATTTAACTTAAGAACAAATTCTCATTAGAATAAAGATAAATTAATGGTCTAATAAGGAAACTAATTAAGGTCAGGAAAGCCCTATTCTCTTTCAAGGGGTCAGAGAATGGGTGGACTTTGCTTTTAATTGTTTGAAGAATGTTCTCAAGGATAGGAGGAAAGCCAGAGCCTCTAAAGGGCAAATGGGCATTCCTTCATGGAGCAAGGATTATTGGAGAGTGTCCACAGAGACAACGAGGGTCAAGAAGGTGAAGCAACAAGAGGTGCAGGTGAATAAGAGGAGAAAATAGAACGTAAAACTGGGAAATGTAATGAGAAAAGAAGGCCCATGAAAATTCTTCTTAGAGAGAAGACATACATAAAAAAAATTGAAATATATTTTTTAAGGTTTTATTTATTTATTTGACAGAGAGAGAGAGAGCACAAGCAGGGGGAGTGGCAGGCAGAGGGAGAAGCAGGCTCCCCGCTGAGCTAGGAGCCCGATGTGGGACTCAATCCTAAGACCCTGGGATCATGACCTGAGTTGAAGGTAGATTCTTAACTGACTGAGCCACCCAGGCGTCCCTGAAATATTTTTTTAAAAGAAGAAAGAAGTCAGAAAGAAACCTAATATGTTAGAGAACAGAACATCATCATTTAAAACTAGGTTAAAATAGATTCACATGCTTCTTGCTACCGGTTTTCCTTCCTACTAGCTTCATATGAGTCCTGTCAAGACAGTGTGGCCAGGCCCCACTGTCAGGAGTCTTGTTGTAATCCAGAGGAATAATGTGGTAAACCGCACCCCCCCCCCAAAAAAAAGAAAGAGAGAGAGAGAGAGTTCACGTACAACTACCAAAAGAAAACCAGTATGGAATGTTCAATATTTTTATTGTCTTAAGATTTTCAATAAGGAAAACAAAGGGACAGAAGTTTTAAATTCTATCAGTTCCTCTAGCCATCTAATGAAACTCAAAGACATTCAAAGATAAAAAGGAATGCTCTTGGTTAAAGTAGAGAATTGAATACATATGTTTATCTATGTTTCTTCTCAAAATAGCACTAAAATGGCAGTAAGTAAATAAAAAGTGAATACATCCATAAGGAAAAGAGAACAGGAGAGGAAGTTGACGCCAGATGAAAGAGATGTTGACCAAATTTTGGAAAATAATTCAGAAGTAATTAGTAGACTGTAGGATGTTGAAACCTAATGCCTGTGGGGATTGGGAGAGTGGGGTGGAACCCTAAAAGGAGCAAATCCAATTATGTGACACAGCGCTGGAAAGGCTCAGGAATTGGAGACACGAGATTCTTCTGAAAGAGAGAAGGGTGGATCTGAAAATAGGATTGTTTGAATGATTGTAAAAGGAACAGATAGATACTCGGATGCCCTCCCTAACCTCTAAGCAACCCTCACTCACTATTCTAGCAGGATTCCAAAGATTTACATTCTAGAAAAACTGCATGTGAGAGGCTTTGGACCTGAGGGTACAGAACAGCAGAATGTGGGAGAAGGCTGGAATGAAAAGTCTGTATCTTAAAGAGTGAGACCTCCTGGTCCACTTTACCTACTTACTTCCCAGAACACAGACAACTAGGTTTATATATCAACAGCTAGGAAATTGGAAGTGCCCTCTCTGGAGAAGTGAGGTGGCTGAAAAGAAAAGACCTACGGATCCTGCTAATTGGGGTCTCCCAGTGAAA